ACTGCGCGATGTGATGCGCAGAGAACTTGCAGTATTTATGTCCCCACAGTAATTTTCGTTGTATTAAGAAGAAAAGGTTGAAATTTTGTATTCTATCTTGTTAAAATAATTCGGATAGACGTTTTGTTGCTATGGATGGCATCGCATTTTGTTTGTAATTAATTTTATACTTAATTTATTAAATTAGTTCTGGAAAAAACTCTTAAATTTTGTGTGGGTCAACTTTCTAAGGAGTGGCCTATGTCCAGCAGTAATTTAATATAATATTTAATACAATCTAACAAACTACAGTTTGTTACTATACATTACGGTACGTAGTGTTTTAAATATCTTACTTATCTACTCATTACAAACATATCCTACACTAAAAATGGTAAAATAAACCCTTTTAAAAAAAAAGTTGAACCGACTTCAAACAACACCGACAAAGAGCACTAAAAATTAAAAAATAATTACAAATCTAAGTAAAAAACTATAATAAGTACCCCCAATGTAATTATATACCAATAGTCCCTTCTAGTCTGTTTGAAGTCGGTGCCAAGCTCGATGCACAATAAGTAATACTGGTCTATGTCAGCTTTATATTAGCACAATTTGGCTCAAATTTACTTGTAGCAACACGTAAAACTGCTTCCAAAACTTTCATTTGCAAGGCGGATTCGATTTTTTGTTTAATTGTTATTTAGTATTGAAAAGGTTTGTTCACGTATATAGGTAGAATCAAATAAGCTGGCACATTTCAGAGCGTTTATGCGCAACTCTTTGTACGTATTTTTATCAATGCAGCGGTAAAAGTTCAGCAAGTCTTCTTCGTTGAATTTGTTGCGTAAATCTTGGTCGTTTTGAATGTCGATAATTTCTAACTGCATTTAATCTGGCGCATTTTCAACTGAAATCGTGAAAGGATTGCTGAATATGTCCAACAGAGATTTCACTTTTTAAACTCCGAAAATCTGTATTGAAAAGATTGAATCAAAATATCTAGCTTTTCTACATAACTGAAATTAATCGCAGTTTTGTTGAACTTTTCAGCCATTTTCTTATAATTCGGAAAATGATTGTAATTTCCAGAATTCAATTGCGATCGGAAAAGTGTCAGCTTGCATTGAAAGGATGATACATGAGCGTAGAGCTGAGATACAGTTGATTTTTGCCTTGAAGCCGTGTGTTCAAGACATTCAAATGATTTGTAATGTTGAAAACTGTCTGGAGAAATCTCGAAACCGATTCTGGAAGCTTCGTGTATCTACCTACGCGAGCAATCGAGAATTCGGGACTATTGCTATCTCGCTTGCTCTAACAATAAAACCCGTGGATAAGCCGCCACCTTCCTCAAGAAAACGAATTTAACCGAGATCAGCACGAACATTACCGACCGCTGTTACCGACGCATGCACGGCGCACCGATAAGCGCACTTAAGAGCGCGCGCGGGAGATTCAAATTACTTTTCGAACATATTTTTTTTTTGGTTTTATTCTGGAATAGAATTCAATATTTTTCGAATGTACGAGAGTATTATTTTTGCTGTCGGCGGGCCACCAGTATTCGACCGGCGGGCCGCGGTCTGTGCATCTCTGCCCTATACCAACCCGTCTGGCCAGCGTGGTATAGTAGGCCAAAACCTCCTTTCTAAGGAGAGGCCTATGTCCAGCAGTGGACTAGTATAGGCTGTTGATTTGATTGATGAGCTCCATATAGCCAGTTCCACGCGGAGCTTTTGCTAACCCGCTAGTTGCATACGGGCAGAACTAGCGGGAATAGCTATTTGAAGAGGAAAATTAAAACCAATAGTTATATGAAGTTCCGTATGTTGTCAGTTTGTTATATGTTATAAGACATGAAACCCTTTTCCTTGTTTTCTTGTACTACAAAAAATCATTTTCAGAAGAATATTTTAATCTAAGATTCATATCCATAGCAGCAATAATACCGACTTTTCATACAAACTCAAAACACTTGCTAAAACGCACGTGATAAAATGTACCATATATGAAAGTAAAGTTTCATTCAAATTCGTCTAGCGGTTTTGATGTGAATCGCGCACAACAGACAGACAAGAATTTAATAAATCTTATTTTGGCATTTACTATATTTACAAAGATCGCTATGCAATTTGTTTAATTTATTTGGGAAATGGTACCAACAGTGGACAATGGGGGGCAGATCGACGCCGCATACTTCGACTTCAAAAAAGCTTTCGACTTGGTCGATAATGACATGTTGCTGAAGAAGTTGGCAGGCGTCGGATTCACTCCGCATCTACTTAACTTCTTTGCAAGTTATATGAGTGACAGGCAGCAATATGTGGAGTATGCAGGACACCAAACGCGACCATATTTTTCTAGATCTGGCGTCAGTCAGGGAAGTAACTTGGGTCCTTTGGAGTTTTTATTAATGGTTAACGATCCGCCGAGTGTCATACAAGAGGCCAAGTGTTTGTTATTTGCAGATGACCTGAAATTGTCTCTCGCTGTTGGAAGCATGGCAGATTGTGAAAAGCTGCAGAGGGACATAGACAGAGTCGTTAGTTGGAGCAAGCAGAATCGGTTGCAGTTTAACGTGTAGAAGTGTGTGACTATCTCATTCACACGTGCACGCACACCTATCCAACACAAGTACACGATGGAGGGGACTGAGATGACCAGGGTAACTGAAGTGAGGGATTTGGGAGTGCGTTTTACCACTGAGCTAGCGTTTCGTGATCACGTACTCAAAGTCTGTAAAAAAGCTTATAGGAACTTGGGGTTGGGTACTTCGTATGGCTAAAGATTTTACCAATATAAAAGCTGTTACAGCATTATATAATGCTTTAGTTAGGATCCAACTGGAGTGTAATGCAGTTATCTGGGCTCCACATGAGACTAAATATAGTCTCATGTTGGAGCGCGTGCAAAATAAATTTATTAGATTTATTTACATGAAGTTGTACGGAGTCTATCCTTTTTATCCGTTAATGTATCCTACCCTGTTTATATTAGGTATGGTTGGATATAATGAACTGAGGGTCAGGAGGGAACTCACACTCGTAACCTATATCTTTAATGTGATTAAAGGGGGAATACATAATGCAGATGTATTAGAGAGGGTGGGTCTGTGTGTCCCAGACGGCTACGCGGGACGTCGGCGGCGACCGCGCCTTCTGGCGGTGCCGCGCGCACGCACTAACTTACTACGCGAGGCACCTTTGACGCGCGCGCTGCGCACACTCAACCTCATAGCTGACGATGTGGATATATTTTGTTGTTCTCTGAGTGAATTTACAATTATAGCACTAAGTAAAATTTGTTAATTTAGTTTGTAATTTGGTTTAGTTTGGCTTAAGTTTAATTAATGTGGCTACAATATCGCCTTGGAATACTACTGTAAAGATATTGTAAAAAAAAAAAAAAAAAAATATTTGCCCTATACTATATCACCACTATTACAATTGCAAGAAATAGTTAATAAGTTAATAAAAAATAGAAATAAATAAAAGCAATAGTTAAGGATAGTCAATTGCAGTTAAGCAGTAGTCTTCGTTATTTTGAAAAAAAGTTCGAAAATAATTTTAATTCAATTAATGTCAGCAGCTGTAAAAGTAGTACATATATAATTTCACATTAAAATTACAAATGTTACACAAATCGCATTTCTAAGGTTACATCAGTACCATGTGGAACTGGCTTCATAGAACTACTGGGAATAAACTAAATCGTCACAATTAGATTCAGAACAAGGCATCCTAGTCGATTTGACATTGTTTTTAACTGCGATCATTACTTCGCCACCTTCTTTTTACCACTATTTAATTAATCACTACGATCCTTCTGTAAACTACATAGCGATCGACCGACAACAGTTCTGTGAATCATGTGTTCATGGAAGAATTAAGCCTGGTACTTGTAAAAATTATCACATCTTCTTCTTCTCATCTTTGTTCTCATCCCTCTAACAGTTATAGTGATATAAACTGAATTTTAATTTTAAGCATGGCTTAATATTGGCGACATTACTCGACAACTATTCGAACATTTTTATTATACATACAGGTATCCGCTCCGTGCGCACATGTGAAAGTTTTAGCGTTGGGGTTTAAATTTCGAAATTTTTTATGTCTTTTAGTTTTGCCACCTTAATATGTCTGTCAGTCTGTCTGTCCATCTAGGGCTAAACTTAGAAACTGCTAGTACCAGAAAGCTAGAAAATAGTAAAATAAAAAGCACAAAAGAAAAATAGTGATGATGACAGAAGGAATTGTGACATATTGCCCTCTTTATCATCAATTCATAATCATTAGTAATCTCTATTATATATCTACCCTATTATATATTCAACAACTCTCATATTCTCACCAATACTGACGAGATCTAAAATACAACAAGTTATACATAAATTTCCAAAAAAATCCATCATGAAGCATCATGAAGGCTTGGTTTACTGCTACCGGGATCTAACACTTCCTTATGTAGATTACTACTCCTCCTGATTGGTTTATATATGTAGGGGAGAAAAGTGGCGGTAGCTATCTAACGATCTATACGAGTTTTGTATAGTATTTTTTTTAATAATATATGTCAGTAACAAAATCGACTCTAGGATGTTATTAAAAATTTATTACTTACTTACAATAAGTTTGCCTTATTCTTAATATTACTACACAATTAAAGTCGCTAATTTATATTAGCTAACATAATATCTCACATAATGTATACATAATAATATTTCCTGTCATTAGCATTCTACCTAAAGAGCATCAGCTTTAACAGAGATAGTACCGAAGCGTATAATAAATATACAATAAATACTCTTACATAGAACCGAGTCTGATATACTCTATTAAATACCTTCAGCTTGAATTTAATATAAATTATTCTTTGTAATTTTCATCACATACTTTACAATTAACAGACAGATCATAGGAAACAAAATGTTGGAGTGAACAGCAAACTGTTTTACTACATAATATATATATATGTCCAAATTTAATCACATTTCATACTTTTTACACTGTACACTGTTATCATTGAGTTGTTTCAAATAATTTTTCACGAAAGTACTTTATCTTTTGTGCAAAAAAAGCTTCAAGTCCTTCAGCACAGCGGTAAAATTCAGAGTCCTTTGGATTAAAGTATCGACAGTTATCAAATATTTTAGTCATATCACCAATAAATTCACTTAACGTACTATATATTTGTTCATTCACTTTACGTTCCACAGACTGTAGATCTGGAAAAAAGTATATATATTATTGCCATTTGATTTATAGTATTAATTTCAAAAACAAAATAAAAATATAAAATGTTCAATACATACCCATTGGTTCTTTTATCACTTTATAATAGGTGGGTGCTTCTCTAGGATCTACAGGCTCCATAAAAGGCCATGCGTTTTTATGTAATTGTATTTGTTTAACCAGTCTCTTCAAGTTTTCAAAATCTTTCGGCGTAAGTTCCTTCATATTAGCATAATTGACAGAATTATTTTTCTGACAATTTGGACAAACATACTCATCAATGTTGTCTGCTTCTGATTGAAGTATACCTACACAGCGGCCGTGGAACCAGTCCTGACAACGGTCGCAACAAATATAAAACCTAAAAAATTTAACAAATATATTTTACTATCCATATAAATAAAAACATTTAAACATATATAGAAACATACATGTTTACATTATATTCGTACTGTATGGACTTTGTATATTACGACTAAGTATAGTCTCCCTTGAGAACCAATCATAAGTATGAGTATTAAAAGTACTTACTGTGAATTATCATAAGGCTGTCGACAAAGACAGTAAAGTTCCTGTGTTTCTGCAGCACGTCTACAATCCTGACAAACATATTCCTCCATTGATTTACTCATTTCTTCAGTAACACCAACACAGTCACCATGAAACCAGTTACTACAGTGCTCGCAACCAACATAAAATCTAAAAGAAAAGTTAACTTTAATGTTGTATTTAAATTAATAAAAGAATTCATTGTTAAAGTTTATAGTGGTAAGATGCTGTACTCCTTGAACTGTTTAATGGCAAGAAATTTTAAGTTTTCTGTGTTTCTTCCTGGACTGGATGCACGAGACTAAACACTTTATGGTAGATTAAATAATAAAAATGTTTAATAATAAAAGCAAAGGACTGAACTAACTTTGTGTTATCGTAGGGGGTTTGGCAAATACATAAGAGTTTTTCTTTCTTCACGGATCTTTTATTAGGTCTCGGCGTGGTGGCCACAGCAGCACTGCGACGTTTACCGCCTCGCACCTCCTCTTGTTTAGTGCGTTCTGCTCGCGTACGAAGCGCTAGCTCAGCCGAAAGTTCCTTCTGCAATATGGAAAATAGGTCCTTAAATTGATACCCATGAATTTGTATAGAAGCGGGTAGAGGACTAATTAAAAATACTTCTCACCTGAATCTCAACGCCCAATTCCTTTTCAAGAAGCCCTCTCTTTTTAATGATATCTTTCTTGAGCATTTCTTTATGCTTAAAGAGCAACATTTGAAGTCGAGAATGATTAGAGGCGGCACGCCGACGCTCTTCGGCGGGCGAAGCGATAGGCACGTTGGGTGGAAGCGTCACTGGGAGCGACACGACAGGCGCAGGTGCAGGAGCTGAGATGGCCTGCGCTACAGGCGCAGGGATAACACGCGTCTGGACCCTGGTCGTAGGTAGCGCAGGTGGTGATGGCGAAATAGGACGGACACGCGATCGCTTTCGTGGCGAATTATCAACCCACTCGTCGTCGTCATCATCGTGACGAGTTGAGAGCGCTCTTCTTCGTGGCGGCGGGGAAGGCGAAGCCACGACGACGGGCGGTGGCCGTACCTCGCGTTCTACCACGACCTCTGGCTTCATGCGCTTCTCCTGGTAACGCTGCAGTTGCAAGAGCTTCTCTTCTATCTCCGGGTTTAGATTCTCCTGCTTAAGCGCACTTTTAATGGCTGTAACGACACGTTATTACCGATTATATTGCAATACTCGTTTTCTAAATACGATTACGTAATTTATTTCTTGACAGTTATTTCAATCTTGATTCCATGAAAAAGTTTGTCCAACAAAATAATTTAAAATAGTTAGCAAAATATTTTTACCTTCTTTTTATAAAATTTCAACCTACAAAATCTGTGGTACTAACTGGAACTATTTAGTGAAATGTATCTTAGGAGCAGTATAAGGCTAATCGGTTTAGCGCACCCCCCCCCCCCCCCCCAATTTGATATTACGACGTTTCAACTTTATGTGGAAATTGTCGCTTCATTAGCTCTCATGGCACTGTGATTTATGTAATATAAAAAATTACTTTTAATAGTATTGTACCCTAACCCTTGCTCTTGACGAATTTAAAATGATGGTGATTGGGTAGAACTACTTACTCTGTTGAATGTAATCAGGGGTTAGCACGAATTTACTATTCTGTAGACCGTCTTGGCCTGAATTAACAATATCTGTTTTCGTGCTGTTTTCTTTTATGTCTTCGAGTTTGGAAGGAGTTGCTTCTTTATGACTAGCAGCTTCAGCTACATTTTCTTCGCCATTTAAAAGCGGTTGACGCTTTATTTGTTCTTCTTCACTAACGTCCTATAAGTAAAAGTTGTAAAACATGTCAAACATTTCTCAATGTTTTTTTCTTTTTTAATCCCACTGTTGAACCACAAGGGTTTAATATATTATACAATATCGGAGTGATGTTCTCTAATAAAATGTTTGTTGCTTCCAGAAACTTCGAAATCATCCTTTTAAGTAAGAAGTGGGGTAAAATATAAAAAAATAACTAAATAACATTGACATCCGTTTGTGGGAATATATCAGTAAGTGTTGAGTAAGTTTAATATTAAAACAGCAATTGGTTTAACAACAGTATGAAAATCACATTCCCTAATAATAAAATTCAAAGCAGTAAATTATAATAAAATAGTAATTGCCCATACACCCCCACAAAACGTTTGTAAGTAAATAAAAATTGTAAAAATAAAAGCTACATAAATAAACAGGACAACATTAAATAAAAGTCGATGATCATTTTAATATTTTATTGAAATGATACTATTTTACCATCAATCAATATATTAATTAATAAGGATTCGATTTGTAATAGCTTACAGGTATACATGTTAACTGGTGGTGTATGAGCAATTGTTTAAACCAGTAGCTTATATTTTAATAACCAGTAAAAATCAGGTTTATGGTTAGAAGTAAGAGCTATATAATATCAGCTAATATAATAAAGTTAAGCTATATTCTGGGCGCTTTAAACTTGCGCATCGGCGAAACCAATTGATGAATCTAGTATTTTTTCGGTCTTTACAGTAACTGAAACGGTTCAGGAATTTGTATTTTGAATATTTAGTATAAACTATATTTAACTGAGTTAAGATGAGAATAAACTTAGATCATCATCAACAGCCTTTAACAGTTCAGAGGACATAGGCCTCTCCTTAGAAAGGAGGTTAGACAAACTGAGATAAAACACAAAATATTATTTTGCGGTATAAACTGATTTTGTGCTATTAATACGAAAGATCAAGATCTCAGAATATCCGTTTTATAACCATGATTATTACCCACCCTTCGTTATCAGGCGAGGCTAAAAAATATGTGACAGAAGTAAGGCAACTCATGCCTCAGTTAGATTATCATATTTTTCTCTTTATTCTTCTGATATCTAATTAAAAATATAATACTTTTTAGTTTATTTTTATTGAAGAGAAGTAATTCTTTTTCTTTATCAGAAATAAACTAAAGAAAAAGCTAACATTTGTTTTAAAGTCAAATCGAAGCCAGTTTATATTTATGGATAATGAAAATAAATTAGGATCTAGGATATTTACCACGACTAATACCAAACTAAACAAATTATGAGATACTTTGTATTTTTTTATGATTAATACTAACAAAAAATTACAAAAAAAAATATCTCGGCAGCAATCAAATATGACTTGAGTGGGGGAGGGGGGGGGGGGGGGGGGGGGTGTCAGCTGGAGCAAAGAACATTGTGTTTCCAAAGGTACCTTTAGTATACATTTTGGTAGTACAACTGCTAGTAAGCATGGTTACAAAACAAGAATATGCTATTTGGACTTTGTTAAAATATTATTATGAATTCTTATAATTGTTTATAAGCCATGTTAAAATGGCTATACTGTGCTACTTTACTGCAACAAAAACACTTAGAAAATATATTCTTTGAGGTCTAGGGCCATACCATTCATGACATTGTTATGTTTTATGAAGCTCAAAATCTGTTCTCTATATTCTGTGTAGAACACGAGTTCTCATCAAATCAATGTTTGGTATTATTAAGTAAAATTATTATGTTATATTGAAATTGTACCATAAGTAATTGTTACTGATTAAAGTTATTGCAATTCAAAATCTGAATGATTATTCGCTACTTTTTTTTCGCTGATATTCGCTAATTATTACGAAATCAGTGTTTTTCTACTATTAAATAAATTTATTTTTACATCCAATCAAGTCCATACACCTGACTGATTTACAAACTTTCTGAATAATGTGCATGATGTAAACACAAAATTTAAGTATATTCGTATTAAATTTATAAAAAGGTTTCTAGCCCATACATAAATTCCAATTAATGTATAGGGACTTTACATCGTGCACACTTTGCATTGAACTATTGTAGCTCACTTACTCTCACATCAATCACATTACTATATTTGCACTGTGCCTTAATATAATAAACAATCGAAAACATATGTAAAATATTATTGCCGTCTTTGAATTGTAACAAAATTTAAAAAAGAAACTTAAGTATATTACGAAAAACGATTCAATTTTGTTTTACTGATGTGAGAGTGATATTTATATTGTGGTTTAAAATTCTGTTGTCTTTTCTGCCTAGTTCTAACATATTATGGAAAAATAATATTCTTATTTATCAGTATTCCGTTATATTATTGTTTTCAAAATGACTATAATACTGATATTTATTTGTTCTACTCTAAAACTATATACTTACAGTACGAAGAAGTAATGAGATATGTTGGATCTACGGTTATAAATTAATAAACAATTGTGTAATCAATATTTACAGAAATTCTTTGGTGTTTTTAAATGATGTATAAGGCTAATAGTAACTAATTAAACTTACGCTTTAATATCATATACCAGTCTTATAAAATATTTTACATCAACTGTGGCGCAGATACGCCTCGTAACATAATAACGTAGGGTATGATCATAACGAGTGCAGCTGAAATCTGTAACATATGAACTTAATCAAATATATTTTTGTTGTGTTAAAGTGCTCTCATTTTGATTCCACCCTGATGTTAAAACTGATTTTTTTTATACTATTCGAAAATGCGTCTTGGCAGTAAAAAAGGCTCCGCCGATATATAATAGTTTTACCTAACACTATTTTTTTAACATATTAATAGCGGTTTTTAAAAGGCATGGAACGTTTTTCTCATTCTAAAAACATAGTAACTATCACATCCTAGAATATTATAAATGCGATTTACAGAGTAGCCATAATGCTCAGCCGAACGACTAAGTAGGTGAAATACATATATAGATACATACATATGAAATATTGCTCTTTCCGCCTCATGATCATCTAGTAGTAATATATTACCTGGTGCGTAGGCATTGCAAGGGGTTGTAGTGACTGTATGGAGTGCAGGGCTTGGGGTACGACAGGTGTCAACGGTGGAGGAGCGCTGGGCGCCGGTTGCACTGCCAAGTACATCTTTCTGGGACCCAGCATGCCCTGTTTCCCTGTTGACTCTTGAGCTGTAATAAGTGCAGTCAATGAATGCTTAAAATAAAATTGAGGTCTAAATAGTACCTCATATCAAAGATTGTACTAATTTACCTTTTAACAGTTGTTGTTTGACTTGATGCTGTACTAATGCCAACTGTTGAGGAGTTAACGAGTATCCATGAAGACCCTGTAGAACTATACTAGGTCCACTACTAGTCTGCATTACCTGTAAAAATATGTGTATTAAAAAAAATATCACTGCACTTTCAATCTTACAAAAATAAGGTTGTGTTATCGCAATAAAAAACTATCAACGTTTTTTTTAATAACAATTTTGGGTCACAGTCAAAGAAAAATGTTTCGAGACAGCAGCAGAGCTAAAAAAAAGGTGAGCATACTTTTTATTGTAAAATTGAGTTACCCTAACTCTATTTTTTTTAAAGTTCTATAAACCTTTATGCTACTGACCTGTGCAGTGACTGTTTTTATTACAGTGCCTGGAGGTTGACCCACAAGAAGTCTCTTCTCAACAATTTCATCTTCTGTTAATTGGTGTTGTTGAGGTAGAGGCTGAGGCTGAGGCTGGGGCTGAGGTTGGGCTTGTACGGGCACAGGCGGCGGGGGCGCGGTCCGCGGTGGTGGAACAGCCGCCACGGGTGAAGGTGTAGCCGTCGACACAGGCACTCCGCTAACGGGAGCGGGGCTCTGACCGATGTGTGCAATTATCTGAGCCTGATTATTTCCAGTGGGACGAATAAGAACTTGTTGGCCATTGACTGTCGCCAATTGAATCTTGCCAGCCGCAATTTGTTGCACCAACACTGGGTTATTCACGACGATTTGCTGTGTAGCAGGCGGCCGCGGCCGCGGCGTCTGTGTTCTCGGCGTCACTGCGACAGCGGCAGGTGGGCGCGGGCCAGCCGGGCGCTGAAGTATCTGACCCTGGACCAGCACGGTTTGCACGGCCTGCATTCGCGGTTGTATTGTAGCGCGCGCTCCTGCTTGGACCACTACTTGTTGTGCTGGTTGCATTACCACTTGCTGCGGAGATGGTACCACGACTTGCTGAGGTGGTTGTACAACGATTTGTCGGTTTCCTTGCACGACTACTTGTTGAGTGGCAGGTGCCACTGTCCGTGGTGATGGTCTCACTTCTTCAACGATGGTTTTATTTTGAGTGATTTCTCTGTCGACTGATGAAACACCGCTCTCTTTAGACCCAGGCGATGCTGCCACCAGCTGACCCGTGACACCTTGTTGGCCAGGCATGACAACGTGTAATGTTCCATCAGGCATTTGAATCAATTGCTGACCTGCTAATAAACCTTTCACAGTAAGTTTTCCATCTGCGGCTCGAATTATTTGGACTTTTTGTGGTCCATCTTTCTGAGGTGTCACATTCGATTTGGTAGTTGCTTCACTTTGAGAACACTTTGTAGTACTGGAAATCGGCTGACTAATAACTCGAGTTGAACCATCAGATCCTTTTGTCATAATAATTCTCCTAGTACCTATTACAGTTTTCTGCCCAGTAGGAGTTGATGTATTCATGGTCAGTAAGGATGTCAGTGTGCTTTTGCCTGAAGTTTGATTGGGTGTGGACTTGTTTTTTTCTGTGGAAAAAGTGTGATTATAAGACTTTTGTGCATTATTTTCACTATACTATCATACAAATTCGAATTAAGTTCATATAATGATGGATTGTTTTAATTTTAATATTCATAAACATTTATTATAAAATTAATAGTTGATATTTTATTCCATACCTTGAGACATTTCCAGGGCTCTCTTTTGTTGATGTGCTGCACGTTGTTCGCGTAACTGTTGCTCCATTTTATCTTTGAGATCGGCAGCATTAGCAGGTGGAGCGACGTTACGCTGAGGAAGTTTACCAGTTGAAGTACGGGTAACTGGAGTAGCTCGTTCTGTCCGTTCACCATATTGACGTACTTCCCACAATTCTAATTTATCTTCATCAACCCACTCTTCCGAAACCTGAAATTTTTTATTTATTCAGATTTAATAACGAAATTACGAGTTCACTAAATACTACTATGACATGTAAAATTAATAGTATTTGTTACTAGTGTTTGTCAATAACAAGGATCTAAATCATAATAAATAAGTTAAGAGGTCAAGATACAACACACAAATGTACAACTGTACTCACTACTGCGTAAAAAATAGGAACGAGAAAAAAAGTTACTTGATTACATATTACCATACGAAAGTCAGCTAATATTAATAATGCAAGAATAAGGATTCGCAATAATTAAATTTAATGGGGCTACACGGTTAAGGGTTAAAATTCAATCTCGCCGCAACATGCAGGGGCGTACACTGAAACTAAGTACACCGTGGACCAGGAATTTCCAAAGTGGTCGATATCGGCTTCCCAGGGGTCGAAATTAACTAAAACTGATTCTGGGGGTCGACGAGGTCTTACAATCGACCCCTATTAATTAACACAAGTTCTCATTTGAAGCTCAAGATACTGTTTTATTTGTTACGTGTACCAACTTGTTATAAGAATGACTAATATTTTATTAGGAAGTATCATTTTTGTACTTTTAAAAACTTAACAAGGCGATAAGCATGCAGTTATTTGGCTATGGGATACTGAGGTATCAGTTCATTTTAGAAAACGGGGTTTCTTGCCCAAAATAGTTTGGGAATCCCAGCCGTAGACGAATACGTCTCTGATAGACTGCATTTGGCAGTATGTATATTTTATTATTATTTTACAGTAAAATTATCTGTATAGTAAAATAGTGATTTGAATTCACTCATTTGTTTTCCATGATATATACACAATAAAGTGAGCCTAAAAAAAAATAAAAAATGAAAATATACCTGCGGTTCAGTATTTTGAGGTGATTCTGCACGTTTCCTTTTTCTTAAACCACTGCGAATCGAAGTCACTTCTCGCACTGTTTTAGGTAATTCAAGGGGTATAACAACCCTCCGCCGAAGATATTGAGTTCTTTCTGAGAACTGGCCTATATGCCTATGTTTCAATAGTTCTAAGGATACAATTTCTGTGTCAGTTGTTAACTGATGCTTGCCATCTGCAGAAGCTGGTTTGGCTACCATGTCATCCCAACGTAAGCAAGCAAACATTATACGAAGTTGCAAAGCAGCGCTTGCCAACCACTGAAGGTTTACAGTCCGATACAACCAGCATGTTTTAAATAAGGGCCTAGGGCAAGGATACGGCCATACTGCTTGGTTTGGTTTTGCATTGTGGCTGAAACCAGATACTGAGTTATGTCCACCTTGTCTACAAAGTTTTCTTAGTTCATGATGTGGTAAAACCATTAGAGTTTTAGCTTTGCTTCTAGTGTGGAATGTTGAACAAAGCGGATATTTTACAGGGGTTCTTTTCTTTTTCTTTTCAACTGCTGATGTCTGCACCCTTTTCAAATAAACTCTTCCAGAAGGAATTTCAGTAGAATAGACTCTTACAACATTTCCCTCTATTTTCTCTTCCTTAACAGATTTATCTTCTCTCTTAAAGGGTTTTGTAGAACCAAACCTTCTGTTAACTAAAGCACGATACTTTACTTTATCATTAGTTTTAGTTGATGTCACTGAACATTTATATGATGAATCCTTAGCTTCGTTGATACTTTTGTTTTGCGTAATTGTGCTAGTCTTCAATGTTCTTCCACGAGTTATTTTTAATTTGGGAATAGGTGGGCGATCTTTGTTATTATTGTCTGCTGAAACATCTAAATTATGTTCTGAAGATTCAACATCAGTTAACTCTTTCAATGGACCAATTTCAACGTCATTATCTTCTATATTATTACAAGTAATATCAATGTCCATCTCATTTCCAATAGCTGGCACAGCTGATTCTTCGAGTGTACTTTCTGTCTTAACAACGCACATACTATCATCGGCATTCTTCTCGACTTTGAAATTAATATCTGGTGCATAATCGCCACTCTTTCTCTTAACAAAACAATCAGTAGTTTTATTGTCACATTCTTGTGCACATGCAACAGCAGATAGTAAATCAGTCAATATGTTTTCATTAGAATTAGTACATGTATCTTTTCCCAATAAATATTGTTCCAGTATTGACATTTTGGAACTATCTTTTGCATTTTCGAGTAAATTATTAGAGCTTACCTCTCCATCTTTTAATAATTTTACCAATTGAATTAAAATTTTGCCTTTTATAGTGCACATAGGTGAGTAACAGTTAATTTTTACTCCGGGACCTGGAGAAGTATTTGTCATCCCTATTTTGTTACAACTATGTGAATAACACTTATATCTTTTAGTCAGTTGAGATATTTTTAGATATTCGGTTCGAAGACTATCAATACCGGCAGAGTTAATAGTTTCTTTTTGCTTGCTCCCTGGGGCTGCACTACAAATTGATGTAATATCAGGTTCAGGTTCATCATTTTCAACATCAATATTTTTCTCATCTTCACTTTTTACATCAATGTCTTCTTTTTTGACATTAGCTAAAAGGTTAGCTAACTTCTTTTCTTCCATAAATTTTAAATATGTACGTCGTGCAAGAAAATCATCTAACTTAGATTTCCTTGCGATTTTCGGATAATAACGTCTAGTAGACGAGCTTAAGGCCTTTTCAACATCTATTTCATCAAATCCATCTTCATCCTTTTCAATCTTCAAATTACGCATAGATGGTGGTACTGCAATTAATGGAATGTTAAATTTCAATAAAAGGCAATTTTTAATTGAATAGTTAGTGTAAAAACTACTTACGTTTTTCCATAACATCTTTATTTTCTCCTTCATTGGAAATGAGATAATCATATGTTTTTGGTTCCACTGCCAAAACTTTGATGACATTACCTTCTCTAACTCTTACAGCAATTTTAGCAGGGCCATTAAAAAGACTAAATTTTGCAGTAATGTGTTTTTTAAATTTTCTTGTAGAGGAGTTCCATAGCCAACCCCACTGCCCATGAATCCTGTATTCTTCACCTTTTTGTTTCCACGCCTAAAATTTTAATTTTTTTTTTAAATTATAATGTTAATTTATTTTTTAAAGTAGAGATTTTTACAATTAACGCGTTAACCTCATCACGACAACCAAGTCCCTTACGTTTTTTGCATGCCTTATTATAGATAATAACATTAGTTAGGATAATTCTTACTTGATGTCGCAATCCAAGTGAATATTTGACAAAATTGTAAAGAGTGCGATATCTTTCTTCTTCTTCATCTCTTTCCTTCTTTTCTCTCTTATCAAGCTTTTTGCGTTCTTCGCGTTCGGAAGCAGTAGTACGAAGCAACTTGACATGACCTAATTGTTCATGCCAAGCGGGTACCCAAACTACGCTTTTGATACAAGCCTGAAATAAAAGGAAACTTGCTAAATTAATGAGAGCTTATTTGATTACCTACACATAATTTGTAATATTCTTTACTGACCTGGAGTACACAAAGTGCTCTAGCAAAGTCTCTCGGAGCTTGACACAGCTGTACGGCTTGCACCCAGGGCTTTCTCAAAAGTGACCAATTAGGATGCATGAATTGTAGTACAATATTCGATTCTAGTTGTAGCAGTGTTTGTCTGAGGGTTGCTTCCAACAAAGGTCTGGTAGCTGTGGAATGTTATTCTTGTTAATAAAGACAAGCACAATCGGTTTCTCACAAAAGTACATAATAAGATGGAAAGACTTCATTAAATCATACAGAAACAAACATACAAAATTTTGTATAAATAAGCAGGAGAAGAGACAAATGTCTGAAATTAAAGAAGCAGCAATATTTTGTGATCGCGTAGGGATACGCTTCTGTATCTTGCGCATATACAGGATGTTTACAAGAATGCTTGGCAATGGCGCGAAGGAAAGGTCGCGCTTGTAACTTGCGAGCGTTAGCAGATGCTCTGGAATGTTTGGAGATAAACTCGGTAAAAATAACACGACGATAGAGACTAATTTAGTATGTCCAGTTAAATATTTCAATACGCAAAAATATTAGTACTTGCCATTCAGTAGGCCAACCCATTTGAACTCCTGTGTTGACACCAAAGAAAACTTATGGGACATATATCGTTTTTTATCCCTTTCTTCATTTCTCTGAGGTTTGTTCAATGCTAATGGGTTCGTAGTATACTGATTTATATAAGTTTTAAAACTGTTCTCGTTTCCTAATTTAAATAGATAAGTTCCATTTGAGATTTGATTTGACTTCAGTCTTGTCAATCTTTCAGTCACTAAAACAAATTAAAGTTGCATTATGGTTAACGAAACTGTGATTATTAGGGTAAAAAAGACTTAATATTTATGTTTCATTACCTTCTTCATGCTTTTTAAAAGGTGTTTTGGATTTATTGGTCGTGTTATTTTTATTTTTTTTTACGTCATCATCTTCAGTATCTTGTTGATTTTCGTCATTTTCTTCCTGATTAGTGTCTTCACTTACAACTGTAACCTCATTTACGACATCAGGATCACTGACTATAGTTGATATATTATCCACTTTATCATCTTCTATTTTGAGTTCTGCACTGTGTCCTTGAAGTCTTTGTCCTTCTCTTAGTTTTTGCTGTTTTACAATATTTGCATTTTCTATTTCTAAATATGATTTTCTACTACCCTTGACTTGATTTGTGAGTCGTTCTGTGATATCCATTTGTCTTAGGATTTCATTTTTCATTTCTAACAGTTCGCGAACTAATGGAGCTTCCATTTCATCAGAATCCAAGACACTTAAAAGCTCTTCTAATTGTTGAGGTGTTGTGTAATACCACACTTCACCATTTTCTGATTCACTAAAAATAAAATGAATAAATATTAGTAAAAACAAAAAAAGTACTCAAACTGATCTAGTGACTGCACCTCAGGCAGGGCGGAGAGCAATCTAAATTCTCTGGCGCCTACTGAGCCTACCGCGGGACGGGAGAGTATTTCCTCGATTCCGTTCGATTTTCGCCGCCTTTAAATCACCTCTCAAAATAAGAAATCAGAATCCTATAAGTACGCTCGTTCTGAGCTTGGATAGAATCAGCCTCCAGCGAAAGGCAGTTGTTGATTTTTGCAAGGTTGAGAAGCTGCTACATTCACGCCAAATACTTCACTAAGGTGTGGAATACAGTGGTCTCGCAATACCCTTTGCAGTTGTGATTCTTGTGACACACGATTTTGATCTCGCTAAGTACCTGTGTCGTCTACAATTTATGACATAGGTACTTAGCGAAGCAATTGTGTCTGCTAAGTTACTGACTCAACCGGTAGGTGGCTACCGTTCTATGCTCCGACCAACTCTGACCGACAGACAGGACAGTAAAAATCTACCTAAAATAAGCTTAGGTAGATTTTTAAGACAGGATTTGCTTTTGCCATAAATCATATTTGTCAATTTACGGAATCTACAAAACATCGATACTCGTATGTATTGTTTTGTCTCCATCGTTAGTCATAAGACCAGTAACTCATATTAAATTAGGCAACATTGCAATGATTTTATCGTTATGAGAAGGTTTTGATTACAATTACTATGGCTCAGTCGTAAGATTTGAAAACCTTTATGCCCACATTAATTACCAAAACTGACAGTAGGTAACTCTCTCAGTATCTGTCAATTTAAGACCACTTATGAAAAAATTTTGTAAAATGGCTTTAATTTGGCAGGTACCTTAACAAAATTGCATTAACTAACGAAACTTCTAATGTGAATAGTTATCATTTTCAAATTCTGAAACAAATGATCATGCTTACGATAGAATTATTTATGCTGACTTGGGGGTGCACAACCTCAGGTTAAGCAGAATCAATAACCACTAGATCAACAGTCCAGTCTTTAAAACAAAAAGGATTGACTAATTATGTAAAGCTTTTTTTATACTAATTTATAAAAAAGTTGATATCAAAGTGACTTTTTAAGCTTCATGGACTAAATACATTTCAATTTCAAATTCTTATCTGTTTCAATTCTTTTCAGTTGTGTTGGTACACTCGTCAAAATCATACACAGTTTCAATTACGAAATCCGACTAAAAAAGGGTGCCACGAAGTGGTAATTTGAGTTTAGGAAAAAAGAAAGAAGTCGGCTGGAGCCATATCTGGTGAATATGGTGGTTGCTCGCTGGTATTTGTTGAGTGTTTGGTCAAAAATTCGTTCACAATGATGGCCTTGTGCGAAGGCGCATTATCGTGGTGCAAAATCCAAGAATTTTCTTTCCACAAATCTGGCCTTTTTCGTCGAATATGCACTTTTAAATGCTGCATAACGCTTAAATAATATTCTTTATTTAGCGTTTGACCTTCCGGCAAGGATTTCGAGAGCACAACACCGCGATAGTCATAGAAAACAGTCAACATGACTTTGACTTTTCATCGACTTTGGCCTGATTTTTCGGTTTCGGTTTCCGTTCAGTTGGAAGGCGCCACTTCGAAGCTTACGAGGGGTGATCAATAAGTAATGATAATCAATATGAAACAGAACTATTAGATTAAAAAAAGTATTTTATTTTTCAACATAGTCTCCTTGCAAGTTAATACATTTAGTGTATCTTTTTTCTAAGCCCATGATTCCCTTAGAAAAAAATACTTTGTCTTGACTCTCCCAAAATGCCTCTACTGCGGCCATCACTTCACTATTGTCCTCAAATTTGTTGCCCCGGAGGTGTTCTTTGAGCCGAGGAAAGAGGTAGAAGTCACTGGGAGCTAGATCTGGCGAATAGGGAGGGTGTTCGAGCAGTTCGAACCCCGTTTCTTCAATGGCAGCCATCGCAACTGCGGCTTTGTGAGCCGGGGCGTTGTCTTGGTGAAACAGCACTCCAGCGCGCAGTTTACCGCGTCTTTTTGACTTAATAGCTTCTCGCAATCTTCTTATTTGGCCTGCGTAGTAAGAGCCTGTTATAGTGGCCCCCTTTTCCAAATATTCCACCATAATAATTCCTTCTGCATCCCAGAAAACAGACGCCAAAACCTTTCCCGCTGAACTTGACACTTTGAATTTCTTCGGCGTTGGTGAGGAAGCTCGTTTCCAAGTCATTGATTGTTGCTTGGTTTCGGGATCAAAGTGGTGGATCCAGGCCTCGTCCATGGTCACAAAACGCGACAAAAAAAATTCTTTATCGGCCTGGAACTTTTGAAGATTCACCCTCGAAATGTCGACTCGTTTCTTTTTTTCCTCGTCGGTTAACATTCTCGGTACCCAACGCGCAGAGACCTTTTTCATATGCATTTTGTTGACAATGATTTTTTGAACGCTGCCATAGGAGATCCCTGTGACCTCAGCTACATGCCTTACGGTCACCCTTCGATCGGCCAACACGATATCTTCCACTTTTTTGACGTTTTCTCCAGTAAGGGACGTGGAAGGGCGTCCCTCGCGATGTTCATCTTCAGTGGAGGTTCTGCCCAGCTTAAATTCCTTTGCCCAGCGTGCGACTGTGGAATATGGAGTAGCAGACTCCCCCAATGTTTCCTCTAAGTCGCTGTGTATGTCTTTGGTAGACATTTTTTTCAGGCAGAGGTACTTGATGACAGCTCTTATTTCATTTTTCTCCATTTTGATGTTTTCTCTTCGACAGTTCGTATTCAAATGAATGTATCTCCCGGTAATGGTGTCCTATTTATAGATTTTTTTGAAGCTGAAGTAGTGGATATATAAGCAAGCAGAAAAATAATAATTTGGGTTTTTGTGCGTTCTAGAAATACTCGATTATCATTACTTATTGATCACCCCTCGTATTGACTAGTTTGCATGTCAAACTCGTAAACCCACGTCTCGTCACCAGTAACAATGCGTTTCATGAATGTTGGGTCGGGGTTGACTCGTTTTAGCATGTCCTCAGCGACTCTCATGCAAATGAGTTTTTGGAGAAAATTCAGATCTTTTGGGATTAGCTCGGCTAACTCGGTAACATGTTTCATACCCAAATGATTAGTTAAAATTGTACGAATACACTCGTGAGATACAGAAAGTTCGGCGGTTATCTCTCTCAAAGTTGAATGAGGATTTTCAGTCACTATTTTCTTCACTTTTGCGATGTTAACTTCAGTTGCAAACGTTGATGGCCTACCCGAGCGAGGCAAATCTTCCATCACATGTCGACCGCTTTTGAACGCTTTGTACCACTCATAAGCACGTGTTTTTGATAGTCGATTCACCGTAAGGCTTCTGTAACATTTTCAGTGACTCCGAACACGAAATTCCATTAGCGATGCAAAATTTAAGACAAACTATTTGTTCGATGTTTTTGTCCATTATGAAATTCGCATTACACACTAGATATGATATAACTAAAAACAGCACTGTATTTAATATGAATGTATTTAGATGTAACGCCAATGTAACAACAAAAAAAAATGAATTTGGAACCATAAACAAATCATCCATTACCGATACTCTTTTGACTGAATGTACATCTTGTATAGTATCAATAACTATAACTTGTAAATGAAATAAATTGTAAGTCAAATAACAAGCGCGCGTTTCCGCAGTTTAAAGTTAAATATTACAAACTGTTTTATTGTTATGATGACATAGTGAAAACACCAGAATTAATAAAAAATACTTCAATTTACTTACACAAATATACGTCTTGCTATAAACCAGTATTTTCTGCCATGTCTATCGAAGCCCAAGTGTTCATGTCTGCACATTAAGCCTTGCTTCTCTGCATCTGGTAAGCAATCTGTTACACCCATTGTTTTATGCTGTTTACACAAAGCGCACTGCCAATCTTCAGATGGTACATCACCCAATGGTGGATCTACACATTCTAGGTGAAACACTGCTGGACAGGTTTCACAGCATAGTAAATCTCCCAATCGATGACAAACTCTACAATGGTCATCATAATGAATAGGAGCTGTAAATTAGAAAAAGGTGGTGTAAAGTTACGAAAACATACATTCTACAATACAATACAAAGGCAATACTGTGGTTACTAAATTAAGAATTTAATAACAGAAGGCTGGCTAATTCTCATAATAAAAGTTCAATTCCGATCTAATCTCGATCTCACAAATGTCATAGAAGGTATTGTCTAAGACTAGCAGATTACCGATTCAACTTTTAGTCACAATACGATATAATAACATTACAGTCAACATTGGATTTTTAATACTTTAACTATGATATTTGAGAGGTCGAGAGTAGATAGGAATTGAATTTTTGCCAAAAAAATCTATCAGCTAGTCATGGGCCTCTTTCTACACTGTGTCTTGAAGATGGTAAGTCAGCAATAATCAGCATGACAGAAAGTAGTCAGTGTTTAAAAGTAATTTGCAAAAATCTTTGAACTCCTGGCCCAATGACAAATAATACTATTGTAGTAAGTCATTACTTTATATTAAAACTAATTCGACAATTAACTCCTGACAACGCTACAAAGATTCTTATGGTAAATTGGTTCTAATTTATATTCTATCTAATGGTACTTATTCCGTTGTTGATATCATAAAACTAAAATCTCTCTAAAATTCTCTTATTTTAGTGAAGCGATTTCCAAAATGCTATTCTGTTGTCAAGACGAACTAAATTTCGTGTTCATTATGACAATATTAAATTTGAGTCTGACATCATTAAAAGATAAAAAATGATACCGTTGTTAAAAAATTAAGAATGAATAATAAAGAGTGAGACATATTTCCTTAGCGTTCCATGGATTCACCGTGCGGGTGCCGGGTCCATCGCGTGATAGACGGAGACACAATGGGGACAACACATGCGACAGCGCTTGGGAATTGCGACCCAGGAGTAGGTTTATGTACATACCATGTTAGCGCTCACTTCCACCCTTTGCTGTGTTACCCCCTCTAACTAACCATATTTGATACGAGGCTAGCAATGCCGCTTTGGACATTCGTTCAAGAGCTTACTGCAGCTCTTGGCAATCCAAGATCTTTAAGCAGGTTATAGAGGGATTTAACTGGTATAACGCAACGAAATAACCGTTTTTAGTTATTTCGTTGGTTAAGTGTACTTGTTTCTTTTTAAAGTGTGGTCTTTAGGGATGTTCGTTTTCCACGGCACCGTGAGTTCATCTAGTACTACTCGCTTAATTCGCATAGCATAAAGAAATATGTCTGACAGAATACCGGAGGATATCTGTTTTGATTTTTATACGTATTCACTAATAATAATGTCCAGTCCCTGGCAGTATCTATAATTGAGTACGGGTTTTGTGAAGTCTTCGTTTCAGCCTTTTTTCACAAAATCGATGTTAGTTCTTATGTTTGTTGTTATACCTTTTTTCCCTCTCGCCAGTGATAAACTCATAGCTTTGCGTATGATTTGTAATAACCTATCATGGCGACATGAATAATGACCTCGGACTAATAGCGCCTTACAACCTGACAGTAGGTGCCTGGCTATACCTATTTCTGGACTGCACATTGAACAAGCCTTGTAGCTTTGCCCACCTTACTAGGTTGCTTTGATAGGGGAGAGTTAATTGAAAGGCGTTGAGGTAAAATTTTAATAGGGCAGGTGACCCATCGTATAATAGTGTGCGCCATTTCAAATCTGGTGGGACACAAAATTCTCCTAGAGATAAAACCATTCATTCTGCATTTCTAGGTTTATTGCGTGCACCTTGTAGGTTCTTGTACGTGCATTTTGTAGGTCTCGTTTTCATCTTGTTGCAGGAAAGATTTTGTTATGTCTTGATCTGTCTGTCTGTCTTCAAGCATTTCCCAATTCAACTTTACTGGACTGCGAACCCACCATTAATTTCTAGTGGAATTGGAGCCATGACTCGAGCTCTGATGAATTTTTGTCTTTTGGCATGCATTTTCGTAACTTAGGTGTTTGTCGAGTTCCGAATCTTTTTAAGTTATTTGAGCCCCACGACTTCAATGTCTTAGTGACTTCCGCGTCCAGTGTTCTTATGTGGTTCTGGTTTATATCGTATACCCGAAACGGCCAGTTGAGACGTGATGTTTAGGGGGCGTCCATTAATTACGTGAGGCGTTCAGGGAGGGGGGGTCGAGCAGAAACTCGTCTAATCTTACTTTGGGGGGAAGGGGGGAGGGGTTAAAAATAACAAACATAGTAGATAAACAATATAGAAATATAGTAGAATAATAGAAAGACAGTAAAATTTCCTCGGCGGAAATATGGCCAAATCTTAAACAATAATATTTACTAGCCTTCTTTCCAAGCAATCCTGAATACTAGTCTGAACTAATCTTAAATAAAAGTAGTTAGTACAGTGGGTACAGTGGTAATTAATAAAAACTTTTGAAACGATATTTTCAGGATTTTATAATTCCCGCAAATGATTATTAATGCATATTAAATTATCAAGTAGTAAAGAAAATGATTTATTTCTCAGTCAGTAAATACATAAGCTAGAGCAAAAATAATTAACTACCAAAAGCAGTGCTTTAGGTGGGCTCGCGAAGTTTACTACCTACTAATAATCTTCAAGACAGTTTTTAAAGTAAATATTCTTTTTAATATGATTGTGAATTATTAATATGGGCTTTAGTAATTAATTACTTTTAAATAAACACTGTTTACATTGATATTGATTCTTTAGTTTTCTATCAGATGGAGTAAATAGTAATAGTCCAGTCGACAAATTATTTTTTATATTATTGTTTTATAATTTTCGACATGGTGTCAGTAATAAAATTAAAATATATTTAATAGAAATTTTTAAATCTTCTCTTTTCATTAAATGTAATTTAATATATTTACGATCGATCTAAACCTGAAGTGAAATTACTATATCAAAGCCTAAACCTGAAAGTGTGAGTTTCTCAGTAAAGAATACCATAAAAATACATACTTAGATTTTTTGTTGACCGAAATTTTTTGTTTATGTTCAAAAGGTATTCTTTAGTTTCTAAAAAGATTACATAGGTATGTCTTAATAATCTAGACAAAACACATGAAAATTATATAATTGTGACTTATGATGAATGATATTATGCACATACCTTTCCACTGAGCTGACCAAAAGCAAACCATGGAATTGCTTTTCATCAAAAAAAATCTACAATATTTAAAGAATTTATACGTAAACAGTCTAATCAACAAAGTAGTCTGCATGTATTTAGATAACAGTCCCATAGTCCCGTCCCGTTGTCCCGAGATTTTAGTCAGTTAACAGAACGACAACTGACCAATTATAGACTAAATTAAGTAACTTAACTAATTTTGGATTGTTGTTGTTGTTGTGGTAATTTTAATATAAACAGGTATTGTGCATGTAAAATGTAAATTTCAGTGAATTTCATTTCAAAAGTGAATTGATTATGTATCACAAGTAATTCTTTCGTAAATAAAGTAAAGTAAATCTTTCGTAATTTTTCAGAAACAAATCATCGTCAAACACATTTCCCCTAAATGCCCTAGAAATCACCGCTTGAGACTAGTTTCAGCTTGTCTCATGTAAACAAAGGATCATAGCTGTCAAAACCTATGCCTGAGTAATGATTTAGACATAAACATCATTCTAAAATAAACTATCACTCACTTGAGTATGGATCTGTGAATCTCGTTTTAAGTGACATTTAATAATAAAATCTCTACTTAAAATTAGTTTTAAGACTAGATTTACGACTGAGATACCTTTTAAAATATGGGCCTAAGACAGACACCACCTACTTCAAAAAACTGTTGTGGACAGATGAGTCAAATTTGAACGAGATGGCATTTCAAACTATCACAATATTTACTTATGGACATCAAAATCTGACTGTAATCCAGAAAAGGCCAACAAGGCCAAGGTTCTCCAAGACATTTATCAATTAATGTTTGGATGGAATTATCTACGATAACTTGATTGGCCCCTACTTTCTAGTCAATAACTTAAATGGCGAAGCCTATAAAATATTTGCAAAAAGCTTTTATAGGCTTCGCCATTTTGTTGAAAATGAAGCCTCATGAAGTTTTCGCCAAATGAAGTTTTTGGTCTTCTTAGGTCTGTTCCTTTAGCGACCTATGATTTCAAATATCAAATTTTGGATATTATAATATGGGGTTAAAAAGATTGTAAAGGACACTAAAGATCAAAGAGCTTCTCTTATACAGATAGGTAAAAAACTAATATTTGTAACTTGAGACCAGACCAAGTGTTAAAAAATATTAATTTATGATACAGAAATTTAAAAACAAATTTTATTTAATAAAATGCTTAAGTTTTATAAAATTGATGAGTATTATACATTTGAAATTAAATGATATTGTTAAACGTTTTTCATATTAAATACAAAACCTTAAGCTAAAAATCAAACTTGTTTCAAAGAATTTCAAAGGACCATAGAAAGCATTTTAATTATTTGTTTAGTTTGGCATTTTGTTAAATTCCTTTCAAGAATAGTGTACCTATAATTTGATTATCAGAAATGTATAAGGTATAAATTTGTTAATGTAACTTCATTGTATATAACTTCTCAATTATATTTATATGTATATTTATATTTGATATAGCTATCTCAATTTCAGCACACAACAATAGCACACTGAACTTTCTCTGCTTTTGCAACAACATCTAGAACACTGCAACATTGTTTTCACTACTATTTAAGTCTTGGAAGTCTACCAAAGTGTAAATTTATTGTAATTTCATACTCATCATCATCAACAGCCTTCAATGGTCCACTGTTGGAAATAAGCCTCACCTTAGGAAGGAGGTTTTGTCCTACTATACCACACTGGTCAGACAGGTTGGTAGAGGGTTTGTGTCACGTTTTCCCCATTCTTGGAGTGCTGTTGTCCTGCAGTTTACTCCCTTAGGCGGCTCTTACTACACCCACAGGATGAAAAGGAGTGGTGACACTGTGTTTTTAATTCGGCACCACACAGATTTAGTAACAAGTGAATATTTTTAAACATCAATGACAAGTTTTCATATCTAGAAAGCTACAATGGTAAAAAAAGTTAAAATATTTATCTTACCTTCGCTTAGAAGATCATCTCTAACTGGATTTGTTATTAAAAATTGATTGCACATAAATTGAAGGACTGCCAAACGGTCTTCTACTGATGTAAATGGATATTCACATGAATTCAATATATTGACCACATTTTGATCAAATGACTTATCACTTTCTATGTAAATTCTAAGAACTTCAGGCCATGTCATAACATCCAATAAAAACAAAGTAATATTAACACTGTCTTTATGGTCCAGTGGACCGAAATGTGTTTGTTGAGCATCTTCCTCTCTCAATAAAGCTTTTAGCAGCATCATATGCACTTCTATCAGTAGATTGCTCTGTTCTTCACAGCTTAAAGCTGCACAAAGATCTTCTATACGAAATGGAGACAGCCTCACTAAGTGTCTAAAGTGCCTTAACACTTCATAAACACCGACAACTTGTAAAACCAAGTTATGAGGAATTAACAAGTCATCAGAAGAAGGTGGCAAATCTAAGGGAGGGATTTGTCTTTCCTGTTGTAGCCATAATGGATCTGGACTGGGTGCTCTTAATAAATTATTATTTACCTTGCGAGGAGTACCACTTGTTGTACTGAAACTACTAACAGAAAAGTCACTATCACTCGCGGCACCATCACCTACACTACCTTCAGAACTATCACTTCCGCGATCTTCTTCGGGCTCGGACCTGTCACTGTATTCATCTCCGAAATCAGACCCATAATGATATTCCGACTCATGATAGTCAGCAGCCTGTGGATTGTATCCTCTGCGAGAATACGAACCTGTTATTCCGCCTCTTTTATTTCTATGTGCTCTTCCACCTCTCTGTTTACGTGTACTCCGTTTACTAATATCACTTCCTTGTGGCGACGACGCTCTGGATGCTGAAGGAGTACTAACCAAAGACGTTGACCCTGCATTTTGTTGATTTAGTAAATATTTAGGTTTTTTCAATAAATGGTACTGAAATTTCCTGTTTTTTTCAAAACTCCCCGATTTTGGAGGCCTCCCGCGTTTCTTTGCCCCCCTTCCCGACATCATTGAAAACAACTGTCAATTGTATACAGTCTCGCACGTGTATTGCAAAAACATAGTCTTGTTTACAAAAACAAAAAGATGGTATAGCATTTCAGTTCATCCTAAATCCAACGCAGTCATGATCCCAGCCGTTTGGGCTGCTTCACAGTAACAAATTGTCTCATAACGTTATTCTACACAATATTCACACTGTCTTTCAATCAATTAACCGAACAGTCAATCTACTCACTGATATGAAAAAGATTTAACTACCGAATTTCCTAAGAGAAAGAAGGCACCGAAAACGTAATGACGCGAAATGCGAGTACATGCAATTCTGAAACGCCTGATGCTGGCTTCCCATTGGTTGATTATCAGGCCGCCATGTCGTTTTCATAACTTGTGGGTAAAATATTTTCAAAGTGACAATTTATCTTCGTTCTTGCCTAAATTCAATGCACTTGATATCATTCTTAAAAAAAATTGTATCAAGTAGCCGCTGAACAGCAATACAATTTAGATATTTTGTTCACTAAAAGAAGTACTAGTTGTAGAACAGAACACATCGGCAGCCATTTTCTTTCTTTCAAAACGATTCTAGAGCTACATCATTTTCGGTACTTATTATAATAACTACAATTTACATGTGTATAGGTATATTTAGAAAGTAACATAAATCTAAAATAATTTTCAAGTGAATATAAGGTGAGAGTAATATCATTTAAAATGAATAATCAATATTAGTATTAAAGGAGCGGATATACTCAAATTAGCACTGAAACTCTCTATGGTTTAAATCGATTTTTGACAACTTTACAAGAAAAAAATGAATACTTCCGGTTTGATTCAGTGTTGTCAGTTTTTAAAATGAAGTTGACTGCCATAGACATTTTCTTGCTAATTTCTCCAAATCAAGCCTTCAAGAATCCCATGCTTTATGGTCTAAGATAAAGAAATACCGTATTCTAAAATAAACTATCATTATTATTATTATGTATTTCTTTATCTTAGTTTATGGTAGTATACCAACTGTTCCCATGAAGTCAACTTTAAAAATGAAAAATCTTTTGCTTTTTTGTTCAAAATTGGTATTTAATTAAAATGTTGAAGAAGTTACTTAAATCTGAATTGACAAATGTTGATTTCACGGTATATCTTAAATGCGCTAAGAGGAAAGTATGACTCACTTGATCGGAAAAGTGGTGATTACTTCTCTAAAGGTACTCCCAGTACCGCAGACTGGCGAATAATTAGCATAATTATATAATCTTATCATGTAAATTATCTTTAGTATAATTATAACGTCCTGGCCACGGAACGATGGATGGATGGGCGATTTTTACTAAAATTAATCAAATTATTCGATTGTTCACTTCAGTCGAAAAAAGTCGATAACAATTGATGTCAGTCGTTTGTTATCAACTCACGGCGCGCGGTAAGCAGTCAGCCATTGTCAACAGCGTAATTTGTAACGCAACGCACTCGTACTACTAAATAAGTAATTGCAGGTGCGTGCGTGAGATGTGCTACAAATCAACTGTTAAAAGTATGTGGTGGCACGCTATTCACTACTGCAGTTATTATACGATTCGCGTTAGTTGATTATTCAATTTAGGGAACATCATTTGTAGTGTAAGATGGTACTGACTATATTACGAATAGATGGATAAGTAAGGCGTTTCTAGATGAGCAAGACTTACATAATAATAAAAATTGAGTAAAAAAAGTTATAATTTTCTAAATTATGTTTTTCACAAAGTAACGCGCCAACGCGCACGGACATATTTCATTCATATAAGACAATGAACGAATGATCAGTGCATTACTACTTTCCAAGTCGATCGAGTAAAAATGAAAATTAAAACTGAAACTTTTTTTAGTCAACATTACAATTGATTTAACCATTTTTATTGGTACTATAGATGATTCCAAATTAAAATGTTTCGTTTCCAAAACGCCTATAAAATCACCGTGTATAGGAATAAAGAAAGGTTTGTATGAGCGAGAGAGACTTGAAGTGAACACTGAGCTGAACGATCTTGATGAAGAAATGAATCAATTAAAAGACCAATCAATTGAAATGGATCACTAAGCTAGTGAGCTAAATGAGTTAGTGAGCTATATGAGCTAGTGAGCTGGATGAGTGATATATATCTTTAGAGCGAAATGATATGTATCTATCTTTTCAGCTCAGTGATACATTGAACAACAATGAAGATGGCGCTGCGAACAAATTAAATTATTCTGTTTTTTTGAAAGGTTTACCATTAGACATATTTTTGGCCATTTTACTGACATCGATTTGCTTCCGACCTCCGATCACAAAAACACGTGAATAAAAAAAAACAATAATGTTACATTTCAGAGAACGAAACGTAACTTTCGACTTCAGGGCCCTGGGCCCCTGCCCATGGTAACACTCTCTGACTAGTAGTTTTGTGCTTAATCGGACATCTGCAGGTTCGCACCGTACTAGTACAATTCGTACAACGTACTATAGTACGGCCGCTGAGTTATTACCGATTTGACACATGACGAATTGACAATACTAGTGAAGTGACTGAACCAGTAACCCTAATATCGGATTCTGTCGCGTCGTTCGTTTGGTTAGCACGTGCGTCTAGAATTTTTTCAAACCTTTGGTGATTTTGTGACTATTGGGTCGTTTTTTTGTTATTTTGTGCTGTCCTTGGTTACGGTGTGTTGTTTGTAACTAAATATTATTACCGGTAAGTGAACATGAACGGAAATAAACCGCCCGACCCTCCCGATATTCCATGTCCAGTAACCCCTCCTTTCACCCCTATTCCTCCCTTACCCGATCAACCTTCAACCCCTTCCAACCCCTTAGAACAGTTTGCCAATGTGGTCTGCAACGCTACGGTGGAAGAAACCAGGCCCCTCGTTTCTACCTCACGGAAACGAAATGGGAACGATGAGGTAAGTGCCCCCCCTCTTAAACGTCTCCAAACTCAAACGAAAACCTTTGTTAGTCGTGACAAATACACAAACAATGACAGTGGTCCCTACATGGTACATGTTTCTCGCGTGGAGAGCTAGTTAGGCTCTGGTACAACTCTCCATCCTGTTTCGTTTGGACTTTTTCTTTTTAAAAACAATATAAGTAATATTGTCAGAGATGGTATTAAAAAAGTTGGAAGGAATAGAGTATCCGTACAGTTTTCATCCCCTCAGGATGCTAATGCATTCCTAATTAACCCCCTCTTAAATATTTATAAATTCACTGCCAGCATTCCTACTTATAACATTACTAGAATGGGTGTTGTTTCTGGTATCCCTACCGACATGAATGATGATGAAGTAATTAAATTTGTGACAGTGCCGCAGGGCTGTGGGCAGATTATTAAAGTCAGGCGTCTTAACCGAAAATCATTTAATGAAGGTATCTTGGAGTGGAAGCCAACAGAATCCTGTGTCCTCACTTTTGATGGCCAGGTTCTACCTAAACGAGTTTTCTGCTGCTATAATTCTCTTCTTGTACAGCAATATATTTACCTCACCGTCCAATGTAGGAAATGCTGCAGGTTTGGTCATGTGGAGTCTATCTGCAGATCTAGGCCTAGATGCAACAAGTGCGGACATGAGCATCCCAGTAACGAATGTGAGGTAACAGAAACGGGGGCCTTTTGTGTCCTATGCTCTGGTGGTCACTTTGCCAACAGCAAGGCTTGCCCGGAGTATGGCAGGCAGAGGGCCATTAAGATCATGATGGCGGAAAAAAACATTTCCTATATGGAAGCAAATAAAGTGGTCCCTTCTACTACTCGCAGCTATGCTGATACCCTAAAGACCCCACAATTTACCCAATCCTCTCAGCCCACCCAACCCATCCAGTCTACCCAGTCCCTTCAGTCTACCCAACCCCTTCAACAAACCCAGTCCTACCGAAAAACTGTTCTTCGGCAGCCTAAACCTCGCCCTACACTATCCAAATCCTATGATATAACTGCACACCAATCTATCATCCACTCTCCCCAACCTTCTCAACCTAATGGTTGTGCTCTTAACTCATCACTCGAGACTTCTACTATTGACCTTATAATACAGCTTTTGACTTCTCTATTAACCTCCAATTTACCTCTATCTCAATCCCCTTCTAGTATACCGTCCAACGTTGCCAACACACTCATCAACTTATTAACCAACTTTAAAAATGGCATCCCAACAAGTATTCCTACAGTGGAATGTGAGGAGTGTGTTTCATAAGAAGCACGACCTCATATTCTTGTTGAATAAATACAAGCCTTTGGCTGTTTCTCTTGCTGAGACTTGGCTTCTACCGGGTCTCAACTTCCATGTTTCAAATTTCAACATGCTTAGATGCGACAGGTTTGATGGTTACGGAGGTGCAGCCCTCCTTATAAATAACAGAGTCCCTCTATTACCCCTCCCCTTACCCCCATTCCCAGATGATATCAGCATTGTAGCAGCGAAAATCAGTAGTGTATCTGTGCTTTCCATCTACATTGCTCACCCCCAGCAGAGTTTCCTCCCTATATTGAGAGACTTGCTACAGAGCCTACGGAGCCCAATATTACTTATGGGAGATTTCAACTGCCATCACTTTAGATGGGGATCTGAGCACTGTGACAGTTTTGGCATTGGTTTGTTGGAGATCATTGATGATTTGAACCTCTGTGTTCTCAATAACGGCTGCTCCACTCGTAGAGTCCTCCCTGGTCAGAACAAAAGCTGTGTTGATTTGACCATTTGGTCCCTGGAAGTTGCTGCGGCTGCTTGCTGGCGGTGCACGGATTTGTCTCATGGTAGCGATCATTACCCAATATTATTATCCCTCCCTAGCTCAACTCACCTGGAAAAATCATGCCCTCCCCTCTTAAAATATAACCTCTCGGAAGCTGACTGGCGAAATTTCTCTCAAATCCTTGAATCCAATGTTCATACCCTCCCTAGATTTGACTACAGATCCCTATCCTACGATGATCGCGGCCATGTGACGGACTATTGTGATGCCTTTGTGGATGCAATTAGGTCAAGTG